ATATGCAATATAGGTGAATTAATTAGAAAAATTGAAAATAAATGCAATTTATCTAAATACAAATTAGGGACATATCATAGATCATTCCATCTTGAATAAATCAACAAATGTTTTGCGGCAATTTTTAACATCAACTCGAGATTTTTATTTAAAAAGTTGAATAATTTTAACACATTCAACACTATGGATAACAAAAATAGCGAATTTTATAGAGTTTTTTCGTAACTTAGCATGGGCAAAATAAATTCACTGGTTTGGACAGAAATAAAGATCCCAGAATGACGTCAACAATTGCGAAAATTTTTCATCCTTTAATAGTCATTTGTGGTTAGGTTAATTTGTAATGGATATAAATGTAGACAGAAAAAAAGCAAATGTTGATAAGATAGTGAGGGGCACAAAGCACTGCCCGGGGCCCCTAATCAGGCTTGTACTCCAGTCAGAGGGTTCGGGGGGGGGGTTAGTATGCGCCGGCCCTGCTAATATATTTATATTATATAAAACCGATAAAAGTAACGAAAACTTCTTGTTATTATGCTCGGTTTGATGGTTTATCGGATAATAGGTGGTACATATGGTGATTTTCTAAGTGTAGCTTTGATGTGGCATAAGATGAGGATTGAACTCACTACTCAGCTATAATCGATTGAGCGAGAAAAGGTTGCTAACAGATAGACCGCATCGAAGTATCCAAATGACTTTCTAAGCATAACTTAGATGTGGCATCAAGTCGGTCGTAATAGATCGAATGAAACTAGTTTGCCAACCATTACACTACGCTGAAGTATTGAAATCAGTGGTAGATCTATATAATATATGCAAAGGTCAGTGTGTCACTCTTTTTCAACTTTACTCCTAGAGGACATTGCCCAACATATCACACCAATTTTGGAATCAGGCCGACTCTGTGAGTAAATTAAAAAATTTCCAGGCTGGATCCTGCAATCCTGAAATTGTCATAATTGCCATTGTTTTTTTTTTGTTTTTTTTGTTTCTTTTGGTGGTGGTGGGAGGGGGGTACGTGAATTATTATTATTATTATTATTATGGGACGATTTTTTTGTACGATAACAATTTTTATAACTTGGATATAAATTTGGGAATAAGCAAAATTAATTGCGAAATTAATCGAAAGTCAACAATCAAATACAAATAATTGCGTGTAAGGAAAGTAAGGACCTACGTACATCAAATTGTCTTTAAATTAAGTGGCGACAGAAGAATTATCGTTGAACTTTTAAAAGGTAAGCTTAAAATGCGATACTTAAATGCAGTGATCAGTTTTGAATTCTTCTGTAGTTTATTGTTGCCTATCACATGTATTTCTCCCTAACTATTGTGATGAAGGCCTAATCAAGAACCTTCCGCAGGAGCTAGCTTAAATGCCGCCCGACAGAGTGGCTTTTAAGCTAATATATATATATATATATATATATATATATATAAATATCTCAAATAAAAAAAAAACGAAAAAAAAAACGATTGTACTTTTGATAGTGTAGCAAATTTTGAAACGCCTGTAAATTTTCAATTTTTCCTCCTCTTGAAGCAGGATCGTTATTTTTAAATTATCACTAATAATTTTATTTGACACAACTTGTACTTGCTGATATCATTGTCAAAAAATATCCGAAAAAACTTCCTTTAAACATTATTTCTTATTCGTGTCTCGAACTTTTCTTTTTGTCTTTTTTTTTTTTTAAATAGCTGTTTCATCCTTTCTGGCCTGTTCTTATTCTTTCCTTCCCTCGTTCCACGCGACCTTGTAATATGTGTCTGCTGCATCAGTTGTTGTTTGCCTACAGTATCTGTGCTAGCTACATTAAATTGACTCAGAGCGGATGGATTCAACACTCCCAGTCGACCTAACCACTGCCACCATGGCTTTTCTCTTTCGCTCTCTCTTTCGACGTGTACATAACATACCTACTTGTTTCTCTCAACGTCACATTTAGACGGTCTAAATTAGACCAAACCATTTCCGTTATCCTCTGCGTTGCTCGCCCTCTTGGAAATATGCGTATGCCCTCCTCCACATCCCCACATTCTCATCTTTCGTGCTAGAATCTTTAACTATCGTTTGAATTCCCTCCGTTCGCTCTCTCGTCTAACCCTGACACAATATTTTCGCAATACCAACTTGTTATTCTCTTTTTGTTTTTCCTCATTCTCAATTCTTCCGTATCACAGGCTTTTTCTTTCTCCTTTTCCCCTCCTTCGTTGTATTTATATCCTTTCTTTCAACATTCACATAAAACTGCTTATTAACGACACTCCCTCAACTAAATTTTGTCATCCCCCACCACTCTCTCTCTTTTTCTTTCTCTCTCTTTCTCTTTTCTGTAGACTTCGCCGCAATTTTTCTTGTCCTTTAATTTCTATGAGTTTGCTTTTCCTTTTTTTTCTTTTTTTAAATCTCGGATTGTTGACCCACATATCTCAAATTCAAACGCGTGATTGGCCTCCTTCTCCGTCTGCTCCCGTCTCTCCTTTTCTTTAACAATCTCCCTTCACCCCTTTCAGACACACACATACATATGTACATATATATATATATATATATATATATATATATATATATATATATATATATATATATATATATCAACAACAGACACGGCAACTAGACAAGCGAACGAGACGACCAAACCAACAAGAGGGATAACTCGGCAGCCAAAGAAATGGAAAAGAATGAAAAGGTCGAAAGAGAAAATTGAAGAGGAGGAAAGAGACGAACGATGGTTTTTGCACTGAGTAAATCCGGTTGATGGCTGACTAGCATGACTGGGAGTGGGAGAGAGAAGAAGAGTGAAGAGAAAGAGAAGGAGGTGAAAGAAAAGCTAAAAAGGAAGGTCTGCCTGTATTAGTCGACATTGCCACGTGTTTAGGCAAACACGTGAAAGTGAGGATTCGATGTTTTTTTTTTTTTTTCGTTCTTACTAGCAGCAGGCGATCATGGCTGTTACTTTCTACCTGCTCCTCTGGCTGTTTGTCCTTCACGGTTCTACTGAATTGCGAGCAAACATCTCACGGCCTCCGATTAGGAAGGCGACTACGACGATGATGATGATCTTTTAAATAAAGCACTCTGATTCAGTCAGTTACAGCTGTTTCTCCGATTGAGTTTTCTTTTCTTTCTTTCTTTCTTTCTTTTCTTTTCTTTCTTCTCACTTAACACGAAGCCAGTGCTTTGTGTGGGAGGAGATGCTGTTTTAGGTTTTAGTGTCGGGAGAGAAACAGACTACTGATATTGTTATTTATATCTATATCGGCAGTTAAAAATTATAATTAAAAACAAAATGACTGAATAGGTTTGTTTTTAAAGAATACTGGTTTTAAAAGTAAATCTCAGTCGAATCACACTAGAAATTAATACGTTAGACAAAGATATTAGCGACTGCTTTTTATTTTACATTTTGTGGATTGACTTCAGCATTTTTAAGTGTTCTAAAAAGAACATTGACAAGCGAGGTGAGAACAATGAGATGTTCTGTTATTTTCTAATATCAAATATTTTACAAAATAAAGCAAAACAAGTGTTGGGCAAGGTAATTATGAACAAGGTTAGACCCAAAATAAACGGTACCGTAAAAATGTCATAAGTTTGTTTGGGTAGGAAAAAAGCCCATTAACTTCAGTTTTGGGCAGGAAAAAGTTACTGATAAAATAATTATCAACACTGCCATTTAAATCAAATAATATTGCAACTACCAAGTAAGACCTTAATTCACTTTTTCCCTATGTCTTTTATTATTCGGTTTTTGCGGCATTAAGAAAATATTGTTCCTTGTATTGTTTTTTAATATGTTAATAAAACAAGTCATATTTAATTTAGTAACAAAATAAGTCTATTTTTATGCGTTGTGTCATTTTAGGACGTGACAAATCATGGCCCTCCACAATTTCCTGTTTGTTCGTTTCTCTTTTGATATTCCTTTTTGTCTTTATTTTGCCATCCATTCAACCAAACTCGTCAAGTAGTTTACTCATTGTTCTCTTGCTTTCGCCGTGTCTTATGTGTGTTAAATTCTTCAAGCTTTCTTTCCTTATGTGTCCTAGAAATCACATTTCCCTCTTTCTGATCCAAAGTATCAGTTTCCTTAAAACTTTCCCGTCTTTCATATGTTCATGAAATAATATTTGAATAATCAGAAATTTTGTTTCATATACTGTCGTAATGAAATATGAATTTATATCAAATAAAAATGTTGCTTTTTTTTATTATTGATAAAACCTACTTTCGATGAAAACAGGATTTTCGTTTTGATTTTTATTCATGCCAAGAAAAGCTGAAATTGTGTTTTTTATCCCAACATTCAAATAAAGGATTCCTTAAATGACATTGCATTATTGATTCCATTACACTGTTTTTCGGAGACTGAGAGAACCAAATGTCTACTTATAGATTAGTTTTGTCTGGCACAAGGCCACAACATTGGGGTAACTACTAGCGATCGAATTCAGTATTCTAATGAACTGATCTATCAGACAGGCAATTATGCGACTTTTGTTATTATTCTTCTTGTTTAAACACTCATTATGCGTTTCTGTTTGAGATCAGAGCGGAGTATCTGTTCGATCTATGACCCTTTTGAGCTATAAACCTTTTTTTTTTTTTTTTTTTTACCAAGGAACCTACATATTATGAAGCGTGAAAGCAATGGAGAGGAAAAGCAGAAAGGGAATGTGAAGGGAAAAAGTGGGAAGTAAGAAAGTTAGAGAAAACTGAAAAAAAAAAAAAATAAGTGAAAAGAAAAAAACTGTATATTTTTTTCAATCTATTTCTCCCAAATAAGGTGACCATTCCTCTAAAATGCATCGGCCTACTAGAAATGGAAGAGAATGAAAAGACTTTACAAGGAACCGGAAACCCAATCCTAAACAGGAAACAAGGGATGAACCACTACTCCTGTTCAAAAGAGCGGAGAGGTGTTTGAACCGAACGATAGGAGAACCTATCTACTCCTATTAAATATGCACATATAGAAAGAGAAGGAGGAAAAATGGATGGAAATGAAAGACAAGAAAACGGGTTTGATATCTGGATATCAAAGGAAAAATGAGTAAAAAAGTGAAAAGTAATCGAGAACGAAATGACGTAAACGTTGTGAGAGACGAAAATTCTTTCTGGGGAGGTAGAGCAACGTAAGAACAATCGAAAAGGTGCAGTAGAAAATATTTGTGGGTTCATTAGTCCTTTTCCAGATAATGGATAACCTAAGTTGTATTGGAAGGGATAAGGGAGTTGATGAGAAGATACAGTCAATTGGTGAAAGACACATAAGATAATGGGTGATCAGAGTTGTCAAAATTTGCTGAAATTTCACAGGTCTTTTTCGGCACGTATAAATGCGACTACTTTAAGAATAGTCATTTTGCTTTCTATAGAAATCCGTATCGTTTTTCTTTCCTTGTAGAAAAGAAAGTAAAAAAAACGTCTCTTTCTTTCCCACCTTAATAAATGCAGATGTCAATTAGATTAGATGAAGAAAACAGATTTCTATAAATAGTCACGTTGCTTTTAGTTCATACCAATGAAATCAGAGTCTCTCAAGGACAGTAAAAATTGGTCAATGACTTAACCGCTGTTGGCTGCTAGAAGCAATTAAGCTTGTCTTCGAATGCGCTACGCAAAAGAAAAAATGGCATCAAGCTATTGACCCCGAGGAACTGTCGCTCAGACGGAATCACTCCATTACATTAAGATGAATAGTGCATTAGCAAAAATTTTGAACGCCTTGCCATAAAATCCGTCTTTGATCTGTTAACTGTACGAGTTTTTCTTTTCTTTTCTTTTTTAAAGCTCTTGATCATAATCAGGAATAAAGTTTCTCATATTATAACAGACGAATTGATTCTCTTTCCATCATACATTGTCTGCGTGTGACTTTGCATGTGAGTATGTATATATGTATACGTATGTTTGCGATTGTGTATGAGTGACTTAAATGTGTTTGTGTCATTTAATGTACACACACATGCAAAGTTTAAAATTTGAAATTGAAATAAATTTCCCATCATAGTCTGGACAACACCTACTCTGTGCTGAGCAATAAAATCATAAAGTTGGAATAGAAAAAAATGTTAATTTTTTTAATCTTGAAAAATCAGATAATTATAAGATTTTATTGAACTTTTCAGAAATTTTTCGGTAACAAATAGAATTATTTTAAAAGCTTCTTCTTTTTTCCCCGAAAATCTCTTTAGCTCTGACATTGAATTAGTATATACCTGCAGAGACGTACACACACACACACACACACACACGCACACAATTTAAATGAAATTGAAAAGAACGTAGTGATGGCTATTTTCCATTTCTGTTTGGCAACAACCTCTGGGTAACAGGAAAAGTATAAACCGAAGTCATTTTTATGATACCTGTATATATATATATATATATATATATATATATGTGTGTGTGTGTGTGTGTGTGTGTGTGTATATATATATATATATATATATATATATATATATATATATATATATATATATACTCGTTTTGCCTTTTCAACCGGGAAGGTAAAGGCTCTCTACTCGACCTGTGCTTTACCTCCATCCCCGAATCCTGCAGCGCCTTGCAGCTCTGCCCTCTTGGTAACTCTGATCATGCAGTAGTATCAGTTAACATCTCCTTTAACTCCACCCCCTATAAAGAACCTTCTACCACTAGAACTTCGTTCTACTATCAACGAGCTGACTGGGACGCGTTCCGTGATTTCCTCCGCGATGTCCCCTGGGATGGAGTCTTTAAACTCCCCGTCCAAGAATGTGCTTCTGAGGTCTCTTCCTGGGTTAAAGCTGGAATCGACGCTTTCATCCCATCAAGGGAATATAGGGTCAAGTCGCGCTCCTCCCTCTGGTTCTCGGCTGCTTGCTCAGCCGCCATCGCCCATAGGAACCACTACTTCCACCTATTCCGTAGCGACATGTCTGACTGCAATAAACGTCTCTTTGCCTCCGCCCGTAATGAATGTAAGCGTGTCCTCAACGATGCTATGTCACTATTTGCGGCTCGGATGAAGGAACGTATTGCATCTCGCAAATTTAGCTCCAAAGATTATTGGCGTCTCTGCAAGAGCGTATTGAACAATTGCAAACCCTCTATACCTCCTTTATTCAACCAGTTCGAAGTCCTGACCTCCTCTACCGACAAGGCTGAATGCTTTGCTCGGAAATTTTCATTCAACTCGACGCTCGACTCTTCCGGTGTACCCATCTTCGACTTCCCTCTTAGAACTGAGGCCATATTGAGTGGGTTAAATATAACCCCATCTTTGGTACTGGCCGTTATCTCCAATTTAGACCCCAACAAGGCTAGTGGTGGAGACGGGATACCAACCATTGTCTTGAAGAAATGCGCGCCTGAACTGGCGCCCCCCTTTCTAAACTATACAACTACTGCCTCAAGGAATCTTGTTTTTCTGACTGCTGGAAGTCCTATTCGATCGTTCCTGTCTTCAAGAACTCCAGTGACCCCTCTGACCCTTCCAACTACCG